CCCTCAAGAAGAGGCAGGTGTGAAATATATAACCAAAGAGAGAGGAGAGAAGAGAGAGGGACCCCCATGAATGCCTGGCCTGCAATTCATTACAACTCAACATTCTCGCAGCAAATAGATGAAGAGAAAAACATATGCATATTAACACAAATCAACATAATCAAGATCAACGATTCAACCATCTCTACCAAAAAAAAAAAAAAGGCGAGAAATGTATAGAGGGAGGAAGACATGAAAGAAATTGCTCACCGAGTTAAAGTCAAGTCGACCATAGCTGCTCACCCTCCCTCCATCTCTACTGCCAAGAGTACCCAAACCTCTCTGTGTCCCACCCACCTTCTGGCTCCTTCCTTTTGTGGGCCCCACCACCAATCACTGCTGCCTGATACACCCGTGCCTCCTCAACAAAACCAGCGGCCACTGAAGCCTGTGAAGAAAGGTGCTGACGGTGCAAAGGCAGCCTCTCATCCCTCACCTCCACCTCGGCACCACCAGGCCCAGCATTCAAATCAAGCCCCTGCCTGGTCGCTGCCCCCCACTTTCGACTATTATCAGCTGCAGAACCCGCTGCTTCCCCTAGGCTTATTAAATACGGTCTTGCATATGGTGAAGACACCGGTCCCACAAGCTGGGACGGGTAGCACGCAGGTGCCACAGCTGAAGATGAGGACGACTCCAAGCCACTTGAGAATGAGGTTGAGGAGAGGGGGAAAGTGGGCCCAAAGGGGAAGGGAGGGTAAGGGAAAGTGGCAGCAAAAGGCATTGCTGGAGACGACGAGAGCACAGGTTGTGCCCCACCATGAGGCCCGCTGCCAGCCCTGAAGGGGTCAATGCCAGGGCCAGCTGCTGTCCCCAGTATGCGGGGCCCACCTGGTGCAGCCACGACCGGGTACGGCTGCTGCTCGGCCCCACGATCGGAGGAGACATAAGATGGGATCGCGACAGCCGTTGGATAGGAATTGGCCGGGGGAGGGAACCACGATGAGATGCTGCCCACTTCAGCAGTGTTCATCCTGAGGCCCGCAACACTGGGGAGATAGGGTACCATGCTCCCAGTCTTATTACTGTTGGGGTTTCGTAAGGAATGGTCGTGGTTGCTCGTGGTCTCAAGGCCAGGGCCATTGTTCAAATCAAAGTCTCGCAACACTTGGGCAGCTTCGCCATTGGAGAAGCCACTTGATGAAGGCCTCACTGCTAATACGGGCGCCACTTCGGGTGGTCTCCTGACCGCGAAAACCCCATTCTCTGGTCCCTCATCAGCTCGGTTAAGGTCAAGATCAAGTCTTCCTATGCTTTTTGGTTCAGTTCTCGGATGGGTGGCGGCTGAATCTTCTAGAACCCTCTCATCAGGAATGTTGAGGTCGATGTCTAGAGGGGCCCGCTGCTTCGGGCCAGGAGCGTTATCAGAAGGTAGGGTATTGTCAATATTCAAGAGGGGCATTTCCAAGTGCTTCCGGGGCTCTGCTCTTCGAAAGGCACTTGTTGCTGCTGAGCCAATCCATCGAGGCTCTCTACTCCTCATCGGGTTTTCAGGGGGCATGAAAGGTCCTTTTGTGGCAGCAGCTACGGCAATTGGGGTTGAAATGCCACTTGATAAAGGGTTAACTAAACAAGGTATAGGGCTTAGCGGTCGAACCGATGGCGAAGAGACAGAACCTACGGGCAAAGCTGGTTCATCATGGTTGGTCTCATCAACTGGGAAACCTTCATTTAGGTCGAAATCGAGCTTTGTGGTCGTATCGGACTCAGTGGCAGATGCTGAGGCATCTGGGCCCTCTTTTTCAGCAATCGACGGCTTGGTGGCCTTTGAGCTTTCATCTTTTTCTAGGACAGGAGGAACTGCAGATAACTCTTCACAAGGCTTTGGGTTCTCAACTAGTCTGCTTCTTTCGAGTTTTTCATCATCCTTGGAGCTCTCATGAGGACCAGCCCCACTCTGATTCTCTGAGCAAGAAGGCTGAGAACTTATCTGTTTAACCTTTTGGCTGTCATCAGTCTCTGCATGGTTTGCACTGTCCAGGCCTTCAGAGTTTTCAGTCTTGGGTTGGTTCTCCTCATTTGCACCCTCAGCTTCTTTGCCAATTTTCTCAACAGTGTTTCCAGTGGCTTGGTCCTCCTTTTTAAGTGAGACACCAATTAAACCTCCTCCTTCAAGTGCTGATAAATTCTTGCTCTCATTCCCTGTTTCTGAAGGTGGGGGACAAGCAGGAGCACCGGCTTCTTCAATGACTTCCTTGTCAGCTTCCTTCTTCACAACATGACCAGATTCAGATCCATTATTGAGGGGACCCACTATATCTGATGTTGCTGTTGTGACCTCCATAGCCTTTTCAGAGACATAATCTCCAGACCTTGGCTCATCGGATGAGCTTTTCACCTTTGGCTTTGTTTCACCAAGGACATCTGCACTGACCCCATTATCTCTGTTTTTGTTCTCATCATGAACTTGGGTCAATAATTCTTTTCCCTCCACTTCATTTGCCCCAACTGTAGGCACATTTTCCCGAACACCCAACTCATTCATTTCAGTTGCATCACCTTTGCCTGCATCAAGCTTTGAGCAAGGCTCCGTACTCTGCTGCAACACTTTGCTAGAAGAGAGAGAGTTCCCAGTAACCTCAGTAACGGCCTTTCGTTCAATGCATGACAAATTGTTACCTACCATAGGTTTACTGCTCTGCTGAAACCCATCCGTCAATTTTGAACTGGGAGCACTGTTCCCCTGCTTCTCCAACTCCTCATCTCGGCTGTCTTCTAGTTCTCTTTGCTCATGTGGTGCTTGCTCAACATGAGAAAGCCTCAACCTAGCCTCCCTCCCTATACAAGAGTCCTCTCTAACAGGGGAGCTCCTAACTGGAGAACCAACGGGCGTATTGACACCAGAATGACATATTTCCCCTGCAGCCACACTTGCAAGAAGATTCATGCCCATATCATCTCCACCTGATAAAGCTGAAGCAGCAGCAGCAGCTTCAGAATGCTTAACACAGCTCTCAATCAGTGCATTTATGGAGCTATAGGAGGCCTCAAATGACTTTCCCGATTTAGATTCAGGCATGACCCCTCGTGTTACAGAATAAGAGCATCCAGTTTTTGACCTCTCAGGAAATTTTCCAGTCTCCTCTGTAATTCTGCTTCGCTCTTCATCGATTGCAGCAGTAGGAGATCTATCGGCCTCATCAGACCCAGCAAACCCATCTTTCATATCGTTACTTTGCCATGACTCTGTATTCACATCAGCAGTTGCACCACTAATGCGAGACATATCAGTTTTCCCCTTGAGTTTTCTATCAAAGTGGTCATGTTTCTCAGAACCCCCTGGTGAAGAAGCTCTGCTGGTTACGAGAGAAGGATCATCAAAAGAACCGCCACTAATACTCTGAGCAGGGCTACGACCAGGGTTTGGGAGCCTCACAATCAGTCTATTATGGTTGTTTCCATGATCAGAAGGCATCATATCAACTCCTCTTTCGAATGACGGTATACCAGGGTGTGAACGCAATACTTTCTCAGACCCCACGTTCCTGCTAGAATAGCTAGATTTGCTTGCACCACCATCCTTTTGGCCTGAACCCATGAATCCATTACTTGATTTTCGATGCCGAGATGCCCCACTAGAGGTCTTACTCATAGAACCAGCTGTGGAGCTCCTCGCGTCCTCTTTCCAAACAGAAGAGCCCACTGCCTTGGCATGATCACTCGAATAAGACTGGCTGTTGTTTTGCGATTGACTTGAACTGCTACTTTTCTCCTCTTTGATTGGAGTGAGAGGCAAATCACCAGTGCCACTGCCTCCTCCCACTTTATAGAGTGCATCTTTTGTGGTGGACCCAGGCAATGAGGATGCCATCTTTGTTGGGCCAGGAGACGTAGAAACTGACTTGACCATGGCATCACCATGACTAAACTTACTTGAAGCTGCTGTTTTGGTTGCAGAAGATGGTTGGGTAACCGAGCTTTTCAAAACAACTTCGGAGGAGGAGGCAGTACGCCTGCTGCCTCCAAGGCCAGAATCTGCGAGACCACCAGGCTTTCCAGGCCATGAAACAGCTTGGCTTGAACCTGTCTTTGCATCACTAATCTTCATCTCCGCATCAACCCTTTTCTTCCAAGTATCAACCAGGGTCCTTGCCTTCTTCTGAATCTCTAAGTTCTTATGGCTTCTCAAGAGGTTCACAGATTTCCCAATGTTACAAGTTTGAAGGGCATGGAGGTCCACTGGTAATTTATCAAGAGCTCGAAGCAATGCTAAGAGAAGTTCCTCAATGGATTTGTCACCCTCTTTTGGGCTACTACTATCACTCCCAAGTTTACCTTTGTGAATCTCTTGGAGCCATTCATCCAATACTGGCAAGCCTCTGAGATGTATAAAGCGGCTTAGGCAATCGACACGATCAGTGGCTGCTATCACATCTGCAAACATAATCCGACCACCCAAATCGATTCTTTTCTCAGTTCTATCCAGCTGCATGAGCTGAACCAACTTCTCAACTCCTTCGAGACTTGTAAGCCTCCCTTCCTTGTCTGTTATTTTCGCAATTTCCAACTTCATATTGCTCTCGGGTCTAAAATGTTGACCAGAGTCACCATCATCTGCTTTGCTAGAACGCTCCCTCTTAACGGGCTCCGCCCCTTGATCAACCCTCTCTCTCTTCTTTCCCTTAACTGGAGGAGTAAATGTGTTTGTGTTGTTGTTTGGTAAGCTTTCTGAACCAGACTTCAACTGCTGTGAAGAGGCCGGACCATTCAAAGGTTTTGGAGACCGTCCTCCTGATTGCACTGCTGCATGCATTTCTAAACGTGTTTTATCTAATAGCTGATCTACTTCTTCCTGACGTTCCTGAAGGGTGAAAGGACAGCAGACAGAAAAGAAAAATTACTAGACAATGGTGTATTCGTGTATGTATGTATGTATGTATATTCAATGAAATCAGAATGTCCCACTCCCATATCTTGACCACAAAATGCCCATATTGTGTATTAGACCCATTTTCAGGGAGGCGAACATAAAGTAAATTCACAAACCCAATCCCTAATAACGGTATTAAATCATGGGAGGGTGAAAGCCATTTGATGGTAAAAGTTGATTTGCAGGAAATATAAAATGACCTCCAACACCCCTAGCCTAAAACTAGACTAATATACAAAAGGGTAAAATTTATAGCCACCCCCAGACACAAAGAAAGAGGACGGTACATGTCATCAGGGTGACAAATGCACAAGCACATGCACATGCACATGCACATGAATGAGATCAAGTACAAAAAATCATGGGAGGGTGAATGCCATTTGATGGTAGAAGTTAATATGCAGGAAATATAGAATGACCTCCAACACCCCTAGCCTAAAACTAGACTATTATACAAAAGGATAAAACCTATAGCCACCCCAGACACAGAGAAAGAGGATGAGGATGATACATGTCATCAGGGTGACAAATGCACAAGCACATGCACATGAATGAGAGCAAGTACAAAAAGCAGTAGACTTACATTGATATAGTCCTGATCGGTTAGCCACCATAGACGATTGCTTGTTGTGTCATAGACTCGCCTACATACAAAGGAAGATATCCCTGGAGGAAGTTCAACACCTTTACGAAGAAATGCGACTTTACACGGATGGAGTAACGATACAGCAGATATCTCATCCTGGTGGAATGAGTAGAAGACTTCGTTAGGCGCAAATTCACGGAAGGTGCCTTTGCTTGGCTTCACTTCAGTAGGTCGGTAAAGCCAATTCACTCGTAACTCAGGGAAATCATCCTTGCCTACTCTTACTGAACGAATTATTCCAATGAAAGGAGGAGAGTTGCCAAAAGCTTGGAAAAGAGCACAGTCGCCAACACTGATCTTGCGTCCATCCTGCAAAATAAAGACGAACCCTACAGTCATTTAAGACAGGAAGGAAGAAATAAATAAGAAACAATGCGCCCTTTAATACAAGGACACCACATATAGAGAGGAGAAATTTGATGAAAAAAGAGATGAATAGAAATTAATGAAAGAAAAAAAAAATCAATTGTTGCACTGTTTATACCATGATTTAATAGAGACATGTAGGCATCTCCATTGCAATCTAATGAAGATATTACTTTTCTAAAATACAGAACTGGTCAGGTTGGTTACTTCAATACAAAGACACCACATATAGAGAGGAGAAATTTAATTAAAAAGGAAGACGAATAAACATTAATGAAAGAAAACAAGTATCAATTGCTCCACTGTATATCATAACTTAATAAGAGTCAAGAAGGTATCTCCTTTCGCAATCTAATGAAGATACTTCTGGACTACGGAATTGATCAGGTTGGAACTACCTCATGCAAGTCAGAAATGGCATTCAACACAACATTGGCTTGACCATAATTCTGTAAGATGCTGCAAACAATTATTCGCAATTTTATTATTCAATCTCATCTATCATCACAGACATCCATAAAACCTCATTTCCATCACTTAGTCAAATCAGAGACTACGCAATCCTACATATAAGAGTCTAACAAACTTACCCACAGCCAAGTTATTTTACGATTACAAAATGGATGCAACAATGAAAAAGAATATCCCATGATTCCCAGATAGCAGATAGAATAAAAGGGCTACCATTGAAATTTCCACTTCTTTTGCTTTTTTATAATCATTAACTATCATTTACAGTACATACCAAAAAAAAAATTAACATTTCAAGTTCATCTTTTAAGAACAAAAAAAAACAACTTAGCCAAAACCCAGAGCCATCCAAAGAAATCATCCAAACAAGATAATCTGTCATGCCACTGGCTTGGGTTCATAAATAGCAACTTGTTAAGTGTCAACACTTACAAATATCAATCAGCAATTCAGTATAAAGCCATTTCCTTGTCCACATAAAAAAACTGCAAATTGTAGTCAAAACACAATGAAGTGCGCAACAAACTGAGATTAAATATTGAATACAGTCAGTTAACAATCCCATCTATGAGAACCAACTTTTTATCTCATGGAATCCCACCATCCATGCACATGAAGTTCTTAGAAGTTTCTGGTAATCTTTCAAACAATCCAGGCAATAAAACCCCAAAAAAAAGCTAAAAAAAGGCATTGAACAGATTCCCCCACGCAAACAGGAAAATAAACTGACAAGTAGCAGGAAGAAAGTTGCTCAGATGGTGGGGCCCAAGAGCCGGATCATATGAGACATTCCCTATTTTCAAAGTTCAGAAGTTCTTTCCAGGGATTTCGTTTTCAAATTCTTTTTTGAGACTTCTTTCTTAAATTCTTTCTTGAATTATTTTCCAGGATTATACCCATCAAGAGACTTGGTGTTGAAGCACTTAATGAAATGGGAACCCTTCTCTGGAGTATTAGTTTCCCTTCAATCATGTTAACAATGTGATGGAACTGCACCAAATTGATTGTCAGGGGAAGTATCGATTATGGGAGTCAGAGCGCATCCATAAAGGAGTTAAGAGGCTTCCTTAGAAATTTCAGATCAAGGACCAGTTAACGTTAAAGGTTTCTTACATAAAGTTTCATGATGAAGACGACGACATCAGTGTACTGTTCCTCTGAAAAGGACTATCACAGATTACCTTCACAAGACACAGCAATTTTAGCTTGTTAACAACCTAGAATATGCACTAAATGTTATCACGTAAACCAGGAAAGAAGGTACAAACTTCATATAGGAAAAGTTATATACAAATGTTACAGATGCAGGAGGTATCATACGGTAGGACCTAAGCATATGGATAGGGACACGTTCCACGATATACGCATGTGTCCAATGTGTAAGCTCCTAACCCTCAGACAACAATTCCGAAGGAAATACATGACTTGCAGGGAGAAACTGTAGAGCTCAGAAACTTGAATCGTAACTGCTACTATGAGCAACAGTTACTTTGCTTCAACCTTTTTTCTTTACTTTCTTTGTCGTCAATAGGTAAGGTATGTAATAGGTCACAGCAATATTTGGGAAGATGGAGCAGAATAGCATGGTACATAAAAGATCAGATAGGGGCAAAAAAGTACATAGTTGGGCTCAAAACTAGGAAAGAAGGTACAAACATCATCTAGGAAAAGTTATATAGAAATGTTATAGATGCAGGAGGTATCGTATGGTAGGACCTAAGTATATGGATAGGAACATGTTCCATGATATTCAAAAGCTAAAACATGTGTCCAATGTGTAAGCTCCTAACCTTCAGACAACTATTCCAAAGGAAACGCATGACTTGCAGGGAGAAACTGTATAGCTCAAAAACTTGCTTCTTAACTGATACAATGAGCAACAGTTGCTTTGCTTCTCCTTTTTTTCATTCTTTCTTTGTTGCCAATAGGTAAGGTGCATAACAGGTCATAGCACTATTGGGGAAGATGGAACAGAATGGCAAGGTACATAAAAGATCAGATAGAGGCAAAAAAGTAAATACTTGGGGTCATAATAGTTACTAAGTTTATTAAGCAAAAACAATGTCAGTAAGTTAGAGAAGAGCAGAATCTTCTTGTCATTTTCTTCATTTATGCCAAGGCGGGGATACTGGCTTCACATCCTCTGTTCTCGATTGCTTTGTTCACTTATATGCGTGTTTTTTCTCCAGTGAATCCCTGGAGAAACAGAAATGTGGCTCTGATCAAGGACAAAGAATGTCATTCATTTTATCCTGGAAGAAACTCCCCCTTCTTGGGGCATCAGTAGAGGCAAGTGGACTCACCCAAAAAGGAGAGAGACCGTGGTAGATCTAGCTGGCTTGGAGAGCATAAGAAAGACTATAATATAGCTGGCTACTGTATATGGAATTGAGGACCGACAAGTTGGCAACAAAGTTTCCAATACCTAGTCTCATAACCTTAAGTTCTATACCAGATGTATGTTCAAGGCATCAAGCTGATTCTGATTTGATGTGTTTTCTGGATAAATTGTTCACTCATTTCTCAATATAAGACAAGTTTATGTGTGGACGAGTATAAATGCAGGCATTTGAGCTCAAGCATACACATACATTAGTAGCATAGGTTTCATACTTTTTGCTAGCGCTCCCACTTCCAAGAACATCATCTTGCCATTTTTAGCCATTTTCCCATGTAAAATGACTTCTGAACTATTAGTAATATCACAAATATTTCCCATACGCAACACAACATAAGAGAGGGAGAAAGTGACAAAAAGATTGAGATATTTTATTGCTAACTGGATTTCATTTACTGAAAAATAGATAATTTACATTACATACCCCAATCTTCTAGTCATTTTTATACTCCAGAAATTGATAATTGGTAACGCACATTAACATTTCGAAGGCCAGGCTCATAAAGATTCAAGCATTTAACCCCAACAAATGCATCCTTCTCGCTATCCTTTCTCATATGTCCCTCACTCTCCCTATCCTAGACTCTTCTCCATTCTTCTTCCTCTCCACCCACTCCCACCACACCCCACTCCCTTAACACTAGCTCTAGTCAAAGGAAAGAACCTTAGGCATGACTCATGAGGCACGCGTCACAGCACATTTTATACGCACGTAAAGAGAATGTCATCAATCACCTCAAGGAGCATATTCCCACAAGGTTGTGCCTCAAGATGCAAGTCTTGAGCCTTTCCCAAGAGGCATGCTTGCAAGGGCTTTTGATCAATATGCTTTTCTTAGGTGCTTCTCATAAAGCGTTGGAGAGATTCCAATCAAGAAATGTATGCTAATGCAAGGGAGGCGTGAGACTTTTGGTCAAACCTGCAAGAAGAACGCAATTGCAAGATCAAGCAGAAAAAATAAGACTTCAGGTAGAAAGATATATGCCCAACTTTGGACCGTAGATTATATCCTCAACAACAATAGATAGATTATTATAAATTTTGGCCCAACAAAAAAGGTTACTATGATGCCTACAATGGCGATACAACCCCCATCCTCACTCCACATCCCCCATCCCCACCTTACCACAAAAACCACCACCACGCACCACCATCCTCATCAACACCCCTTCCATTCACCCCATATGCCATAACAAAATTTTTTTTTATCAATAGCCTGAATTTCACAATCCTTCTATGATCATAATTTCCTATAATATATAATAAATTTCAAAACATGCTTGAAAACAGCCAGATCTGACAAGTGGCTAGTTGACATAAAACCTCGATTAGACACTAACACCGCCAAAAACAACCAAATAAGTATGTACATATATGCTACTTGGCATATTGTCTGTTACAATTAAGACAAATTTTCACAAACCAAATCATTGCCCTTGACTTATCAAGAGAGTTTCAGATCCAAATTGGTAAATTATTTCATCTAGGATGCATCTACAATGACACGTGAGAGAAGTGGGATTGCACAAATAAAAATAGACACCTCAAGTAGCCTCAATGAGAAGTCCACTTGTATAGCACAAAACCAACACTAGTGGGAAGTTCAAATGAACTGATTTTGAAATCAGTAGCACACCCAAAACCTAACCATATTAAAAATGCATCCTCACAAGCTCAAGCACCATCCTACATTGTAAGTCATGGTCTTAAACCAATATATGCAAAGAAAACTTTTTGAACTCATCTATATAAGTGATATGGAAAACCAGTAAGTGAATTGAATCATTCAACTAGTTTACCAAAACTTTTTGAACTCATTTATGTTGGTGATTTGGAAACCCAGTAAGTGAATTGAATCATTCAACTAATTTACCAATTATCACAGAAATCAAAGAAGTGGTACATCGTATACCATGTGAAAAAATGGTACAGCTAGTCACGATAAAAATATACCTCTACCCTCTAGGTGAATTTATTTTGGACCATTAATAGAACCATATGAAAATCACTCATGGAGTTTATGCCTGTTTATACAAAAAATACAAAAAACTTCTTCCCAACCAAAAAATGAAGAATAACAACCATTATTATGAAATCTGAAAATTTATTTGGGTTTTCTCCAAAAACCTGTAATGGATAGATTCCAAAAGAATGAAATGCAAATTTTACCAAAATTCCTCAACACTAAAGGGGAAAGGGAAAGCACAATTTTTCCCAGTGTTCCTCTCAAAATTGAATAAAAGCTTCTAAAATTCCAAAACCATGATTGGCAGGCCCCATTGACTATGAACAACAAAATCAGACATATAAGTGGAACGATCATAAAAAACTCAAACTTATTCCTTGACAAGCAACTACTAGACAGTGTAACTCATACTTTTGAGAGTCAAAGTTTGTCCTTCAATCAGTAACTTCAAAGCATAAGTTGTACTAGATTTTCAAATACAGGGAATGAAATGTTTTCTAGTATCTGTGACAAACACGTAATCAATTGTTTTCATCTGCAATTTCGTAACTTATGCAATATTCCGAGTCTCCTAAATTTCCATCATCTTTCATGTTTCCTACTCAACAGTTGTGTCTAGCCTCTTGTTTATTGATTAGGGCAGATGAGCCACAGCATTTATGACCAAGGATAATTTAAACCCCAGCTTAGTCCTTCAAAAAAAGTTATGAGGGGCATTTTTCTCTAAATATTACAATTTCACATCCAACCAAGGTGAATAGATCATTCCTTGTGCCCCTTTTTACAGACAAGTAGGATCATTCCTAGGAAGTTCCTGTCAAAAATTTGCAATCCAAGTATTCTAACAGATGCAATCACTCTCCTTCCCATAACAACCTGCAATCTAAGTGGAGCTCCATACCAAAAAGGTAGCAATAAATGACGACCAAGCTTAATAGGACCTACCAGATGTTACAGACATGTATAAAGTCCAATCCACACAACAAAAGGTAGCAGCCACTGTTGGAACTGAAATAGGAAGTCAGTAGCATCAACACAGAGTAATTTTAAGTCCAATGTACAATTATCGGCAATCTATTCTACCAAAGAAATCAATGATTAACCATCTAACAAACAGATTCTCCAATCACTATGTAATCCAAAAACCACTCTTTTTTAAAGTTCTCTAGTTATCACATAAATTTTGAAACAAAACCAATTACAAAGTTAAAACTAATTAGACCGATTTCCATGGCAACTCCGACAATTTAGATTGATCGTAAAACTTTAATGTGGCACATTAAGAAGCTAAGAACAGCTATAGATGCCCCAATCCAAATATCAAAACAAACCCTCGAGTCACAAAAAACATACAAAAGACTGACCATTTTAAAACATTTAGTATACTACGGAAAAATTATGGATGTTGACAACTACAAATTTTTTTTCTTTTTTTTTGAATGAACTGACAACTACAAAAATTCTTCACAGCATTATCTTAAAGAAGCAAATCCATTTAAAAATGATAAAATAATGAGAGGTTTCAGTAACCAAAGGAACAAGATAATCATATCCGTTTTTTAAGAATACATTCCCCATAAGTGAGTAGAAGAATACATTCCCAATAAGTGAGTAGGATTTAAAAATGCAATCTCCAAGCAGGACATTGTACGAACTAACATAGCAAGAAAACAATGCAATAAACATCATATAGAATGGTCAAGGGATATCTGTGCTATGCAATCTAGCATTAAACACGTAGAAAACATAGTCATGAGGTATAATCATTTGTAATGGAGCTGTGGAACTTAAGGGAGATCTTAACTAAAAAAGCCCAGAACCAGAGTACCTTCACAATTTTGAATCTGATGGTGAAAATTTTGCTACTTCAGAAGGGAGGAAAGATCATATCGATCTATTCAATCACACACGGCACTTCCAGTTAAAGAAATATATGTCTTCTTCATTACAATACATTTTTTTTTTCCATTAATGAAAAATTGCAATAAAAAAAATACAGTTGGATAGGCAAATGTTACGCATGCATAGAAGCAAAAAATCCCTAGATAGAGACACAGACATGTTTTACAGGAGAATGGACTGATCCTCCCAAAGGCCAAAAATTATTCAGGATTTCAAAATATCAGCTTTGCAAGACATCTGAATCTTCATTCTAGTTCAAGGGAGCACATCAAAACGACAGAGAATGGTGCCATGCATACAGGGGCTAAATACACCATGAGCTAGTTGCTAATATAAAATAGGCATATGCTGCACTAGTGATCAAATTCAAGGGGTCCGCAATTACATTATTACAAAGCTTCAATTTCTATTTCCTCATGCAAAATAAAAAAATTCACCCAGTCATGAAAGATTTTCATCTCTAGTTGTCACATCAAATTGTACGATCGAATTGATAATCAGGCATTCACGATGGTGCAACAACTTTTCCCTTTATTAGATAAGAATTTCCAATGTGATCCGGCAATTACTCACTAAACTGAAATAGGGGGGTCCATTGAACTTTATAAGAAAAAACATGAGTCATGCACCTCCAAAATCACAGAATACTCACAATCATGCAAGTGAATAATCATGATGCAAAGAAGTTAAAACCCATGCTAATGAATGTGCATGCTTAGCCCAACAAAAAAAGAAAACAAGAAAGGAAAGGCAAATATATGAAACCAAAGGAAACAGCTTTCTATAGAGTATTATCAAAGAGACAAATTTCAACAAAAACATGCCACAAAAGTTCCATAGAAAACCCAATATTCTCAAAGATAGGTTTCTCAAAGTTAAATTAGGAAAGGAACCTAAAAACCAACAAAAGATTTTATTTGAAGTTATTGAAAGGCCAAACATCTGAGAAAACCAAAAAGAGTTGCCTTTCTAGAGCCTGTTAATCAATTTCACCAATAACCGAACATAAGAAATAAAAAAATAAAAATTTATTAGCCCAAAAATGACTTCTTAATCCATCAATAGACAAAAATAAGTTTTTTGGAACATTTAACGTTCTCAGAGAACCCTAATAGGAAAAAGTGAACCGAACCACAAGAAGAGACCCTCAAACCTATTAAAAGGTCTAACTTCTGAAACAAACCCAAACACCTGAGGTGTAAATGAACGATCTTGATATTGAAATTAATCAACAAAAGCAGCACTCTCCCCACAAAAACCCTTCCATATTCCCGAAACATCAAATGCTGAAAATAAGTACAAATATTGGTAAACGTACAATCTTGATCAATCTTACACCAGAAAACCACCCAATCTCCCCAACTCAACATCCAAAAAAAAAAAACGCAAACGAAAACCCAGAAAAGCAGCAAATTTCACAAGTCCACATGCAATCAAACATCAAGGGGGTCAATTTTCTCCTCAATTAAGAAAGGTGAAATCAAATTCATCAAAAATTCTGAGGAAAAGGGGATTGATGCAAAACTAGGGTACACCACAATACAGGGGAAATACCTTGAGGAAAGAGCTGGTAGCACTGGTATTTGAATTGGCTACTGTACTGAGATCAGGGACTGACCACATGTGCCAATCTCTATTTCGATCCTCACCTTCCCCCCCATGCATAGCCTTGCATCTTCCCCAATTTGTTTTTGCCAAAAACCCCAAAGCCAAACCATCAATCCCTTCTTCTTCAGAAACCTCCGAGTCTCAAAAACCCTGGTTTCAGCCAAAACCTAACAGTAGATGCCGTCAAGGAACAGTTTCAGGGCGGCACATGGCGAAACCCTAGCCAAGACCAGGGACCCAATTAACAGTAGCAAAGAAACCCTAGAAATCTCCGAGAGAACCAATTACCCCATGCTCAGAGCTTGCAAACCTGCACATCGTGGAGATCGAGGGCCTGATTGATGGAGGGGGCACAAAGCCCTAATTTTGCACCGCTGTCTGTGGAGAGAGGGTCGAATTGGAGGTGGAGAGAGCGAGGGTTCAGATCTAGAGAGAGAGGGGGGGAGGGACGAAGGGGATTTTGCGGTGTCCTCGCGTCAAGGTTTTTGTGATCTATGAAGAGAGAGAAAGTAGAGAGGACGAGGAAGAGAGAGAAATAGGGGGACCCTGCGAAAACAAACGAAATGGTGTTTTGAGACCCGCCAGACGGCAAAGAGAACGGTGTACCTGGGTCGATGGAACGGGAGAGAGAGAGAGAAACGGGCAAGAGAGAGAAAGAGAGGAATTGGGCACTCGGGCACCGCGGGTAGTTCGGGCAGCTCTCTCTCTCTACATCCACTTCTATCCTGCTCTCCTCTTTCTGTCTATGCCTCTCTCTTGCGCCTGACTTTCTCTCTCTAAAAAGTCCAAAATATCGGAATTGCCCTGCCCCTCACCCTGATTCCGGACAAGACCCCTACTGTTCTGGTAAAATATCAAAACTACCAGTTTGTTTTAAATTTCGACACTACCCCTCATTTAGGATTATAGTCTAGAGATGGGTCTTCCCATAAAAGATATGCCCTTGGTCTAAATGGATGGATGTGATTGCGTCTCAACAAGCATTTGGTGGAATCTGCACCGTCCATCACGATGGCATCAGAATTGTGAACCGTCCATTCTAATTTTAATGAAGGCTGCATGGGACTAAACAAGTTCGATTTAATGTTTTATGACTATGATGAGTTGACGAGGATTCGAGTAACTCGGGCTCGGCGAGTTGCCTTGCCTGAGGCCTTGCAAACTGAGAGGTACCTAAATATTTATACTGAATTATTTTTATTTTTGGACTAAATGACTTAAATCAATTATAACTTTCTTATTTTCGGGTGTGGTTTCTATAAGGTTGCAACCATAAACAATCTAATTAAGGTGCACCATCAAATTTTATTTTAACATGTAATTTTGGCGTAAAATATTCTTAAGATTATCTCAAAATCTATTTTCATATCTAATTGTAAAATTTTAAACTCCAAAACCTATCAAAAAAGATCGTTTTGATGGTGAAAAATCCTCAAATTGATCATCTCCACTTTGAAATGTATGGATGTGAAAAAAAAAAAACTTCAAATCATGAAAATAGTGCATCTTGTAATGCATTATTTGGACCAATCCATTTTCATAAAATATAATGATTAATAGATTTCTCAGCATCATTTTTGGAGCTTTAAATTTCACAATTAAGGGCGGCAATAGATGCTATTGTAAGGCTTTCTACCAGCAAAATTACATCTTTTGACATAGTTTTGAGGTTCGTGTTACTTCAATAATATAACGTTGATATCTTATACAAACCTCAACCTTTAGTTTTAGTTTTAGGTTATTCTTCTTTCAAGTTTTATTTTGTTTCAATTATTTTTTTTCTGACTCTTCTAGTTTTTCAATTATTATTTTTCTAATATTTTTATTTTTTTCAATTATTTTTTTCTGATATTTCTATTTTTTTGAATTATTTTTTTCTGATTTTTCTATATGTTCTCATGTTTTCAAGAACACAGTCTTTTGACCTTTTTAAAACTTTTCCCCGTCTTTTTTATACATTTTTTGCATTTTCTATTGCTTATCTTTTTCTTTTGTTTTTTTTCATATTTTCAACCATTTTTAGAAAAAAATTCTCATTTCTTTAACTTTCTTTTACTTCAAGCTCTATGTAGCCTCAAGTTAGTAGACTCGTATGAGTAACTCGACCAGGTCGATGGCCAAATTTCATGGTAGAGCCAAGTTAAAAAATTTCATGACAGAGCCGAGTTAAAACTTATCATGAATTTTGAACCCACAGTATCTGTTTTTTAATAGAGTAGAATGGTAGATCAGGATTCGTGTAGCCGATCCCAATTAATTGAAAAAAAGTTTGACGATGATGATGATTTGGTTCAAACTTGAAACAAAGTATGATATGATACATGCTATACCTAAACTCAAATAAAGACTATCTTAATAATCAGATAACGATTTGATTATATAAGATGAAAAATGATAACTCAACAATGAAAACATATAAATTCTGGAAAATTCTTACCCTCTGTTCCTCTTAATCTCCATCTCAAGACTACCACCTGCCTGACATGTGATGGGTAGCTTTAGGTGGGTTTCTTTGATCCCGACCGTCCTTTATATTAAGTGGTGTGCGTCACAGCCGTTGATTTCCTAGAACTAACGATGCTTTTAATGGTTTTTATGGGGTGCATGACTTTTTCATCCTTGCGTGTAGCTTTTAGCTACCATTGACCTCCTGATGCACAAGTTATTGAAACATTAGAACTTGGTTTTCAATAGGGGATAATGGATTGCATTCCAAGATACATGTATCATACAAACAGTATGTTACATGTCGTATCAACCGACCTTGCAAATGAGTGGGTGCGATGAGCTGTTTCTCTGTCGAAAAATTGTTGTGGCAACACGCATTGTAATAGTGTGTTTCAGTACATGTATTACGGTGTTCAATAAGGAAAAAGTTTATTCACCCAAAGATGAGGCCTTAAACAATCAAATTAAGGCACACATCAAAAACTCACTAGAAGAGGTTGTTTTAATGTCCAAAAATCTTCAAATCGATCATCTCAATCTCAAGATGTATGAAGATGAGAAAAAATGAATTCCAAGTCTTGGAAATAGTGCATCTTGTAATGCATTTTATAAACCGTCAATTTTCAAGATTTTCAAGTGTTCATAGATTCACTCGATCTACATTAATTTTAAAATTTTAAATTTTAAATTTGGAGATAAAAAAGAATTTCGAGGGTGTGACCAAGATTTTCAGTATTGAAACAACGTCTTTCGATACTATATTGAAGGCACACCGTATTTTGACCGTTTAGATACTCAAGTTTGTTTTCGAGCATCTCAAGTAGTGAAACCATGGTGGTTCAAATCCCCAATTTTCGGAGGTTTCCGAACCGAGGAATAGGCCCGGGTTGACATGATCTAGGCAGTTCAATGCGCATAGGGCGATTCCCGAGTCCTTATGGATTCTCGGGGAATTGTCCTGATAAAAAAAAAATGCCCTTTTGGAACCTCTTTTTCTAGGATTTTTTTGTCCCTCTTTTTTTTTGCCCTTTATGGCCCATTTGGGGCCGCTGGCTTGCACATGAGAATTAAGATATAAACCCATTTTTCTCAAAAATCAAAAGAATCTAAAATTATGATTTTCATTTTCTCGAAAGGCATTACCTCTTTGATTTGTAGTCTAAACCCAATGTATCCTTGAGGGTTTTATTTTTTTACTGCCTTCGGGTTGATCTGCCATAGGTATTGTGCTCATTCTTTCATTGATGTTTTTTTTTTTTTGGGGTCCTTTTTTTTTACGGAAAAGTATTTTTGATTTTTCAAAATGATATAATTTTTTTAGCTAGATGATTATCTAGTTCATGAAATATTTTCTTTGATTTTGCATTTTATTTTTGAAATACATGCATTTTCCTTTTAAATAAGTGAGAAAGTTTTATTTTTTTTCTTTTAGGATAAATTTTTTTGTGACATTATTAGTTCCACCAATTTATTGTTGATTTAACATGACCTTTTCATGAACTTTGAAGAATTATTTGCTAACTTGTAGACACCCCCTTGAATTTTGGCTAAGAGAATTCCATGAAACGTGCAAAACTGAATCTTAGAGACTATCCTAACCCTAGTGCACCATATCTTGCAGTCCATAGGCCATCATTTGTAGGAAACCCTTAAAAAGAGTCCTAAAATGATCAAATCTATACTACTTGATCCTAGTAACATAAAAAATAACCCACATCCATTCAAAGTTATCCTAAGAACAACCAAGTCGTATTTGAAATCTGTCTGATTCTATCTAAAATAGTAGGATAAGTAATCTCCAATGATGTAATCTCCATCCAAATGCATTGAACCTTTTCTCTCTTTCCCAATTTTCTTGGCCATCGGCATGCTTTATCATATTATTTTTAGATCAATTAATGTTTGTTTCCTTAAAAACTTTCGAACAATTAATTTTTGTGCCATTGAAATGCTCAATGGTTTTTTCAGGGGATTGAGAGGCCAAAGGGGAAAGACGATGGCGTAGTTTGAGGCCTAAGTCATGCTTGCCAAGGGTGGGGGTGTGCGTGTGGGTCGATAGCAGAGTGTTATAGGCAGGTATGGAGGAGTGTGACGAATACATTAGTATGGGAGGTCATCATCAAGAGCACATTCTTGAGGATATATGGAGATGTCCTCCTAGTTGGACTAGGATCGGGGCGAGGAGCACATGTTAGGGGCCATATATCACAGGGTAGACCTTCCCACTCAACTCACAGACTCTTCGTTACGATTTGGCCTTTCATGTGAGAAGATGAACATCAAGATGGGCTTCAACAAACAAAAAGGAAGCGCGCAATAAAGGCCATGTCAAAGTGGTTTTACGATGCTTTCAACCCCTTCAACATGACCAACGAGTATTACATGCCAATGATAGCTACTATTGCTACTGCCAAGGCCTGGAAGCAAGGACTCGACTACACATGAGTTTAATAAACCTTGTTGTTGTTAGAAGTTGATTGAGGTGGGCTAGTTTGTTGTGTATAAGCAAATGTGGAAGAGAACATGAGTCACTATAATATCTGATAGTTGGAAGGACATGAAGGGGAGAAGTGTTCTTAAATTCTTCATGCATTGCCTATATAAGATAGTGTTCCACAACAGTGTAGATTACAAAAGTGATGAAAGACAGTGAGCTATTGAGTAATTTGATGGACAATCTGGTGTGGCATGGTAAGTTGGTGAGGAGTTCATAGTTCAAGTTATAACTGAGAATGTAGCAAACTCAACTTAGCACAAGGAAAAAACAAATGAAGTTAAGTATTTGATATGGACCCCCATGCAACCCCAGCATTGACCTTATGTTATCACTCAGTAGACATGGCAAGCTCAATGGTGAAGACATTATGGACAAGGGGAAGACAATCACAAACTTTATATATAACGGCTTCAACATCGATGAGGCAACACGCGAATGGGAGGGAGCTTAGCATCACATGCTTCATGACCTCATTTTTGTCCAGAGAATGCATTTTCATGTCGTAATTGACGCTCAATAAGATGATTGCTCGAAAAAAATGTGTAATGGACCTATCTCAAGAAGTTAAAGGTTTGTAGCATGAGGTTCTGAGATAGGAGCGAGTAGATAGTGGCAGCTAGAACTTCTCAGTGGAATTGTTGAAGTTGAGAAATGTTTATATGAAACCTGCTATGGGCTTCTCGTGTGGCAATCGATATTGAAGTG